TGTATATATATATATATATATATATATATATATATATATATACAAGTGCCTGCGATAACATAGTGGTTCCCAACTACTGGTCATCCATGTATGTTTTTGCTGCTCTGCAGAAACAGCTAGTGAAAAAATATTATTGTGGAAGATTAGATTTTCATGAAATTTATAATTTGTAAATGTGTGAGGAGTAGGAGAAAAGGGTTCTTTCCTTTTTAGTTCATCATACAATAAGTAAGCCTCATAGCTTTCACTTTAAAGGTTCTTGAAGAAGATAAATTAGCAAACAACACTATAAGCAGATGTACTCTGAATGGTCCTTAAGCTTTTTGCCAAGTTTACTTGACCATGTAGTAAAGAAAAGGGTTAGAAAATCACTGCTTGTAACATATACAACATTGAGAGGATTAAGGTATCTCACAGTAGCAAACCTAGAAAAAAAAAAGAAGGCAAGTGTATCAAGTCCCTAAGACAAGCAGATTTAGTTTGAAAGAGTAAAATATATTGTTACGACAGCGGAATTCACGTGACGCTGGTAACACGTGATGAGATTCTAGAAGGATCAGGGAACCTCACGAATGTCCCAGCATTTGCTATATGCCCTCTTTTTTAGTATATAAGCCGGCAAATAAATCGATAATGGAGACAATCGAGTCAAGCCGTAAGTAAAGTGTGTAAATCGCTGTGAATTATAGCTAAGTTAAAGTGACTGTGGAAATTATGTGTATTACAAAGTTTGTAATGAGAAATAATAAACTAGTTTTAATTAACAAAGGACTTGTATCACTAAAGTTTCATCAGAAAGAAATTATAAGGGAAATTATCAATCAAGCAGATACGTAACAATATACTTTCAGTCTTTGATAAAGCATATCTACATCTTAATACTGGTTTACATGCTGTGAAAACACAAGTTCAATGTTTTTCACTCGGCAATATCTATCATTTAATCATTCAACTGCGATTTCAACAGCGATGTAGACATTGTAGGGTAACTCTAAAAGAAAAGTTTTTAAATATTACCATATACAAAATGAAGTAATCTCAAATACCAGTAATATCATACTGAATTACTTTCTTTAAGCATCTTCCAACTAGTTAATTGTGAATAGCCTTTTCTAAGCTGTTATCTCACCAAGAATAATCTTCCAAGTTTAAAAGAATTGAAATGAATAGTAAAGCTTTAATACCATGTATAGATGCAAACATATTTTGCTGGGAATGTCATTGACCCATTAATATATTAGTATACTTACTCTTACAAAAACGTTAAAACAACTTTAAGGAAGATTTCTCATACCCTAATCTATAATTTATATTTGTAGTCTAAGCTATTTTCTGTAAAACTCCTCAAATAAATTAAACTTACAGCATCGACTACTAACACAGGTTTAGAACAAGATTAAATACACCTTCAAAACAAATCTGGTCAGACTGAATATTCATCTTTTTACTCACAGTTTCTCCACCGTTGTGTGCAGCTGCATGGTAATCAGGTAAGGGTGGAACTAGAGGTGGCTCCTCTGGAGGAATCTTTCCTGGTATATCATTATAGTATTCTGGGTCATCTGCCCTAAATGACTGGCTCCTACTGAAGGCAGGATTCTCCATTTTGTGACTGTACACAACACAAATCTTTTACAAAAATGTACACATATTCAGTACCAAAAAGTTAAGTACAGAAAGTAGTGAAAACTCTGTCTATATGAAAACTTACTCATTTTTTACTTCCATCATGCAGTACTCACTCACATATGATAAAAAAACTAATGAAAAATTCCTATCATTGTGTTGTAACAAGCTTATACTGGTAAAACAAGAAAACCTTTAGATCTGAAATGCTATATTTACACATTTGTATTTGAAATCTACAATGGACTAATTAAAATATGATAAAATATTTCTGCAGTCAAACATGGTCTTCATCATCTTTCTTAAACAAAGTTTTGACATCGTACATCACACTGTTCAGTCTCTTGTATTGCATGTCATTTCTAGTAAAGTTCTGGCTGATGTTGAGTTCTGGTATTGAAAGTAAAAGTTTCTGGAAAGTTAAGTATTTTTGATAACACACACAGATTTAACATGCATTTTTTTTACACACCTGTGGTTTGCATTCTGTAATAGCCAAACTAAGAGTAAAATTGTAAAAATTATCCTCAGTTAAGAAGCAATTTTCATGACAGTTGTTACATCTAAATATCTATTGCCACATAAAGGGTAGAGCATTATAACCTTATAGCCTAGAAAAGTTGACACATTAGGCCTTGCTGGATAACTAACTAGTATTTAACTTACAATTCTGATAACTTATGACACAATTATCTACATTAATAGTAATCTTCCAGTTTCTCAACTAATCCTATACCTTAATTACCAACTGTACACACACATTGATTAATCAGCTGATAAAAATACAACATTTATGGTACAAAATAGTGTTATATAAAAAAGAACATTTGTCATACATGACTGTGTTGTATAAAACAGAACATTACTGGTGCATAATAGAGTTGCATAAAATAGAATATTTCTACAGTTAAAAAGTAAGGATGCACTGACTGTTTGTTTATTTGTTGTTAAGAGAAAAACTACACAAGGAGTTAATCTCTGCTGTGCCCACCACAGGTACTGAAACCCAGTGTTTAGCATTATAAGCCCACTGATGTACTGCTGAGCCATTGGGGGCAGATTCACTGATTAAGATTTTCTTGGGCGATACCAATAGCCAATGATTACCCAACCATATAGGCCAAAAACAATATTTAGTAATAGTGCAGGTAAGGTGCTTTAAACTAATAAAACAAATATAAATTCTAATTGCATTTATAACAAAAATTCACAAGTGTTATTTACTGGGTGCATCTAATTTAGAAAATGAATAAAAAGCATAACAGTCATAAAAAGTTTTAAAAATACTTTGTGTTAGTACTTGTGGAAACAAACATTCAGGAAAATAATAATATATATATTAACTTTTGAATTGTAAATGTAACTTTCATAATTTACAGTAAAACTTTATATATGTAAACATAATTAATACCTTCACCACAAAAAAATAAGCATAAGACTATTAAATTTATTTTACACATTTCAGCCTAATAACTTTGTCTTCAGTGACAAAAGACAACTTTCACCTTCAAGACACAATGTAAATACAGATGAGATATATCAAGTATAATGATGCAACCTCAGGCTTTGTCTACTGTTCCAGCCACAATCATGCTGGCACATGTTTTGTAGACACAGATATCAAACTAAAGAGAAGTTTTTTTATTATTCAAGTCTGTTTCAATTTGAAATATAATGTGAAAAATGTATGAAAAATTAAAGGTTGGTGTATATGTAAAAATAATCTTATTATTCAATACTTGCTTTGAATTACAATCCAAATGCTTATAATTTTAAGAAATACATCTTACTGTATTATTTTTGTTAGTTTAATATTATGAAGATCAGTATTTGAAATACTGACAATATTAAAACTGATGACTCTCATAGAATGATAAATGGTGGGTGAGAGTTGTGTTATGATGGCAGCTTTGGCAGTCACATAAAAAAATATGATATCCAAGCAATGTAGATCACAATATTTTATGTAACAAAAACCCGCTAATAGCCAACAATGTAATTTTATTTTATACCTGTGCTAGGCCAATAGTGTAAGTTCATAAATAAAATACTTAAACCTTTAATGAATATTTGTTCAAATTTCTAAATATAAAATTAATCTCTCTTGAACTAGGTAAAGGTGCAAATTCAATTTAAACAGTTCAAATATTATTGGTTTTTAGCATGAAAAAAAGCAGAAGCAGATATGCACTTAAACTGAAATTACACTGAAAACTTGAACTAGGTACACAGGCAATGCAACATTAGTAAAGCTTTTTCTTATTTTATTGAACTATATACACATATGACACAGTATCTACCTTTCTGACGAGTTTGTGGCATAAGTCGTTTTTTGGAGAAATTCTTTCAATCTCATCTCAAAAGCTTGACCTATGGTTGTAATGACTTCTTGAGACAAACTACCCCCACATTCAAGTACAAAACAAGCTCGGCCATATTGCTGATCTTTAGCAACGTATGCAATGGAATCTAATGTATCCTAGAAAATACAGGGAGAATTACATCATTAATAGATAATAATTAACTGTAATGTTTCTAATTCCATAAAGTAATTAAGAAACTAAATAAAATGGAAAGGTTTGTTAAAAACTTAAAGAAGGCATCAATGTTACTAGTCTTGAATTCTGGTGGCTAAAGAATAGCTTTAGGTGTCCCAATATATAATAAACCACAAGTAGTTTATATCGTATTTGGCTAACTCTGCATTTATATCCTACTATCATCACTTCCCTATTAAGCAAAATTTCAACTATGTTTGTATTTCAAGATATATATCTTTCTCTATCATCTCTGTACGTTTTAAATGTCAGAAACATGATTCTTTTCAATAATTAGTTCTAAAACATTGCTAGGTAAGTGCTTACTTTCATATAATTAATACAATGTTTTAGTTATAAATTAAACATTGAAATAGTGTGAAAAGCTCTAAAAATGTACATAGCTTGTTAGTTGCTAGAATATTCAAAACAATGTATTGACTACTTACACCATCTCCTCCAGATGCAAATGAAATGTTAGGCATTTCGTGGTTTACCACAACCTGCATGACAGAAGACACATCATAAAACTGAATAATTGTTTAATTTCTAAAGGATCTAGTGTATAGTTTTATTTACTTTCTAAGTTGACTCAAACTAAATGTTTTTGCTATTTCATTAAAATATGAATACAAATCACTTTTTTCTTATTTGTTATATAATTGAATTTTTAATCTTTTTGTTAAATTTGTAATTTTAATAACTAGATTTTGCTTTTTGATGTATCATGAACAAGAACAATGCTTATAATTATTTTTTTTCATACTTTCTAAACAAAATATTTAAAGACAAGTATTTTTCTGAAGATTCAAATACCTATAAGAAATATGCATTTTTACCCCTGTATGCTACTTAGCAAATGAAATTTATCATTGTAGCACTCTACATATATATATATATATACAGTTGGTTTCAGATGTGTTTTAAGGGTTTGAGATCTGTGCAAAGTAAAATAGTTTCCTAATTAAAAGTAAGCTGTGATGATAAGAGCACGATGATGACAAGTATTATTATCCAACAAAATGAAAAAAACTATACAAATATATTTATACTTATTTCTACAAAACAAGTTTATATTATGCCAAAACTCAGATTATACCTTTTAGAATTATTAGGTTGTCAAGAAATTAATGTCACTTTTGGAACACTTTCATTAATAAAAGT